TCAACACTTGATGAGCATTTAATTGATATTCGTCCCTCGAATCTTTTACTAATGGGCGGGGAGGCTCGAAAATTGTCCTGCTTGAAAGAGGAAGCTTCCAATCAAGGCCTTCTGTTTCTCTTCCGCCTTTTAAGCCTTCGCAAACACCCTCCATTCGGTTTCGGCGCTTTCAATTTATAATTTCTTTTCTTCGCATCTCTCCGGCGTTCCTATCTCTAAGCAAATATTTTTACAGTATCTGAATTTAACGCCCCACAACGCAGTTCAGATTTCCGAGAAAGTGCTTTTTCCGGAATCGTTCCAGCAATCAAACGCAGAGTTCCTGAGCTATTGGCAATTTAGCTCCTCCAACGCTGAAATATAAATTAAAAAAAAAAGAAAATTTTTGAAGAATTCAGTTCGTCATCTCCCCCATCAAAATGTTCAGTTCCCATGTGAGAGTAGGGAATAACACAGTATTAGAATTATTATCCACAATGGTACTAAATCTTTAATGGTTTTTCCCCAAAAACAAAAATAATGTGTCGCGCTACACCCTCAAATTATAATCGGGGATACAGTACCTATATGATTACGATTCCTCTTCAGAGTTTGAAAACTTCTGAATAATTTGCGAATGTATGACTCGAGTTCCAAGGATCTGCAAAATTCATTAACTCAGCAATTTTTCACGGGGGATGGAATGTAGGAGTGGGCGTTGGAAGGTGTTTTGAACTTTCATTCATATGATTCTCTTAAGCGTGAAATTTGTTTCACACCCTCACCGCGGTAAAACGGAACGTGGGGTGCGATACCCTTGTGATTCTCCCGCGATTGTCAAATCAACGGTAAATTCAATCGGTACGGGGAAGAGCCGGAGAGTTAAGTTGAAATATGACAACCATGATTGCTCGTGACCTGACACGGAAAAATCCTCAGGGAGACTGCCAGCCGCCTCCAAAATAGCCGCGACGATTTCGAGTCTGCCGAACCGTTAAATTACCTTAAATTAAATTTGGTCCTGATTAGGTTTACGACCCGATATTGACCAAAAGTCTTAGAAAAATGCCTCCGGGCCTTGATAGACCCTTGTGGATGATAGCGTGAGATTGGTCACCAGGAAAATGTTCCTTCAACAGGAACACGGCTTGAAACGTTTTCGCATGCTCCATTTCGAGACGATAGCATGATTTCGCTTCAAGAGAAACAAATCCCGGGTTGTAGACGTTTTTATCCTTCCAATGCGTGAGATTTTCCAAGCTTTTCCTTGAGCTGATCAAAGTATGGGATCATCCGCGTAAAGAAAATTGATTTTTTTTTAAAAAAAATTTTCAATCAATATTGAAAAAGTTCTCATGGAAAAGTGAGTCTCCGAGTCAAATAATTTTCCCTGTTACAAATAGTCTTCAGGAACCTCATGCGACAATATCTGATAATTTCCTTTCAGATAATCACAGTAATAGTACTCTCTTGAAAACTTGCCATGGAATTAGTGTTTTCCTAATTTCACCATTTATTTGTGGTGCAAATACTGTTTCTGTGCAGGGCTTTTATGGAGATCAAAGCTTGATAGGAAGTGACCTGGGAGCCGTGTTTCACAAATGCAAAAGCTATTTCCGGTTTTAGGAACTAATCATCGTTGAATAATGACTGATGTGTGACGAGTGACCAATTGAGCAATATGCAGCACAAGGCTCGTAGTCAATACGAGTCTTACGATAGTAAGCCGATTCTATTGAAATTCGATCGGAAAATATTTGAGTGACCGATCAAAACTAACGTTGCAAGATGGAGTTTTGTACGGTAATTTCTCCAAAAAGTGATGAAGTTTCTGGTGGTTCGTTCAATTTTTCAAAAAATCGCTCAACGCAGTAATCATGAGCCATCATGAGGCAAATCAAGTATTGTTGTCTTCAGAAAATGTAAAAAGTTCCCGAAAGTAACTTTTTCCTCTTTTGTTTTCATAGCTGCCACTTACTGCAAAAGGATCTTAAAAATACGCTGGTACTCTAATATGGCTGAGACGCTTAATACTAACGTGAAGTAGAGTGTCTCTCTGGTTTGACCCTGGGTTGAAATTATATTCACAGCAAGTATGCGATATTAAAAATTTATTAGTTTGGGTCGGGTTTGTACGCGGAGAAACGTGATGCATATCATAAAGTTGGTTCCTGATACGCATATCAAAAGATGCAACCGTTCAGGCGTGAGGACGTGCTGCTGGTGTCGAATTTCATTGGGGGCGATTTCTTCTCCTTGGAACCAATTTGGGATTCAAACTGCTTTCAAGTTACTGTACCTTTTTTTCGTCCTGATATCAAACCAACCCCATGATCAAACTAAGACGGAAGATACCCTGGTATTCACTACCTAGGTAGGTACATGACGACGTCGCGTACTGTTTATTTCGAACGGACCATATCTCGGCGAAATTTGAATATAGAATTTGGCATTCAGGCTGTTCTGATTCCTTACGATCTCAGACCGTCAAACTGCGTGTTTGCGACTCGCATATTTGATCCATTGAAATAAATAGGAAGTGTTGTGGAGGCTGGTAAGCATCGGATAGGCAACAATTGCCGCTCGGCTGTCAATAATATTGCATACTCAATAATATTGAAGTCGAATTGTGTGAAACAATCCTAATTTTTGAACGGCTCCAACCTAACCAATTCGAAATCCATCATTTTGTAACCTCTGAAAACAGGTTTTCGTCAGGCATTAAATATTTTTAGGTTTGAGTCAGTGTCGCTCCTCAAAATTGACGCCATACCACGTGGAATGCTTCCAGGACTTTATGTCCACCTACCTTTCGTCCATTAAATAAATGCCCACCGCTATTTGTGTCCACTAAACATTAAGTCCAGTCTATTAAGTCCACATGATTTGATGTCCAACCATGAATAAGTCCAAAATTGTCCAAATTGTGGACATAACATGTCCACATTTTTTCCCTCTCATTTAAATGACAGGAACCACCTCAAAAATTAATGCATACTACTACTACCTTCATTCTTAAAAAGCATTTCATTCATGCACTGAAAAAATTGTGTGCTGTTTCAGCACCTAGGATGTCAAAAATGTGTCTGGTGATCTTTGGATGCTGCCATGATTGCCCGCGTAATTGAATTTGCATTCACAGGATGTAAAATCACCTGCGGGGGCAGCAAAAGCAGCATCTTGGGATCACCAGACACTTTTTTGACATCCTGGATGCTAAAACAGCATAGTACTTTTTTCAGTGCGAATCAAGTCATGAAAGAGAACAGACTCTAAGAGCAGATAAAAACATATGTTCATGTGTACACTGTACGGATATGATAAGATGAAAACCGAAGCGGGAGCCTAGGGAACGCTCCAATGCCAAATTAAACATTTTTCAGTAACAGATGCTGTCAAAATTGAAAGTCCTCTTTAACTAGTTATTTCGTGCGCCTTCAATCTTGTAGGATACTGTGCAACGCCTCTGACGCGAAATAGTTGCTTAAAGCGTTGCGGCGCGGCAGGGAACCAGCGTGAACGCGCATAGGCGCCTACAAACCTAACGGGATACTTCACGCGTTGCGCAATGCGTGAAGTATCCCGTTAGGTTTGTAGGCGCCTGTGCGCGTTCTGCACTGCTAATGCCCTTCAATCGTGGCATCGCCAATTCAAAGTCCACAAAATTCCAAAAGTGTGACAGTTAATATGTATTGTGATAAACGTGTTTCTTGCACGCTTCGTCGATCCTTTCTAACACATTATTGTTGATTCGTTGTAAATCTGTGATGGGAAATGTGTAGCTACGCAAGCCTTAGAAAGCCAAAAATTTCTGCTCTACTAACGAAAGTATTGCATGCTTATATTTTCAAAGGCGAAATTTGCAAATATGTTTTTCTTTTCTTTTCTTTCGACAGCATCAAATTTGAAAACCAAATGCCAAGTAGTAACTATCTAATAAGAAAGCATAAATGCATGTGGAGAGTAGGTAGGCGTCAGATGGACAACAATTGCGCTGATTGGCTGCCAAAAGTATCGAAACTGCTAAAAATAAGAGAAACATCTGCGACAAACGGGACGAACCTTTATTTGGTCCGCGTCGAGCAGAAAGGAATCAAGTCATATTAGCCATTACCATTTAATTAGGAAATTTAATTTTTTACATGGGAATGGTTGTGCGGATTTTTGCGAAAATTTTAGTAAATTTTCTGCGTCGAATGGACTTAAAATTTTCAAAGGAATCCGCACAAAGGTTCTCTTGTAAAAAATTAATTAGCTCAGTTAAATTTGACAATAGCTGATGTGGCTTGGTTTCTTTCTGCTAAACGCGGTCCATTTACAGAGGGATGAGCGTATTATTACACCTCGTCGGGAACGAAAAATCATTAGAACAAGAAGAGCAACTTCAAAATGGACTTGGGTCACTTGGTCCACGAAGACAAGCTAATTTCTGAGATATACCAACAAAGCAAAATGAAGACAAATGAAGGATAAAAAGAAATAAAGACAAAAATGACAATGAACAGGGTGAACCATGTAATGTAACGGCTGGAGTCCAACTCGACACCGATCAAAAACCGGGTATGTACTAGGTTACTCCATTTGGAGGTATTTCTACCAAACGGAACTATGTGCATTAAGACATGAGCCCTAAGACCCATAAGAATGTATGCGTAAGAGGGCTCACGTCATAATGCACATGGTTCCGTTTGGTAGAAATACGTCCATTTGTGAATGACTTACCTAAACATGATGAAATCGGTAACCGGGAGGTTGTCGAAGGATGGGTCGTAGGGCCTTCGGTAAAAAGAACGAAGTGCTCGTCACGAATCAATTATTAGGATTGGTGAATCAGTGTTGCTCGTGACGTCACAGACTGTAACGTCATGAGTTCGGGGCCCGATCCCCGGGTGGGTGTGTTGGAGCAGGAATTGGACGCAAAAAGCGCTCGACGACGCATCCCCGAAAACTAGGGATTCCAGCCCTGGGAGCGGGGAGCGCGCATCTGAGCCGAGTCTGTCTATAAGAGCCGCCAGCCGGCACCCGCTCGCCCATTCACATTCCGCCGCCCGCCCGATCTCACGTGTCCACCGAGTCGCCCACCCGGGAGCCCCCAGCGTGCTTATCACCCAATCACTCGCTTATCAATAGCTTATCACCCGCTTATCGCTTGCAGTAGCCTATCCATTCGGTTCGATTCTTCGAGGCTTCGAGGCCGGGTTTACCATGAAACTCCACCCCGCCACCGCTCGGTTCCGAGTCCTTTCTCTCTTTTCTTTCTTTTTGTTTTTCCTATGTGGTGTCCAGTCTCGTGCTTTGAGCCAGGAACTCTCGGGCCTACAGAACGTAAGTTGCCATCTTTTTCCACGACTATCGAGTTAAGAGACAAATATTCGGGCAATATTGGGTCAATGTTCAGAGCCAAAAAAATGGCATTGGTTTATCGTATACAGAAAAAGTGGATTGCTGATCTAACGATTAAATTTTTAAAAAATGTGTCCGACATGCTTCAAATGTACATTTCACAATTGTGGAAAGCTAATTTAACTACGGGGGTGGTTAAACCAACATTTTTTTATTGAAAAAGTAACATTGTTAGAATTATACACGCCTTTCAGGAATACTGAAACATTATTTCGAGGAATTTTATTATTAACAATTTTTGAGGTTGCAGGTAAGCTTCGACGAAAGCCTATGGCAATGATGAAATTGCAAAAACACGGAAAAAAACAATTAATGTTGATTCCCAATCATTTGCTGATTTAACAATAGGATTTTAAAAAAATGTGTTCGACACGTTTCAAAAGTACATTGTACAATAGTAGAAAGCTGTTTTTCTTAGTTTTTAATAAGAAAAATATATAATTACGTAGTACTTATAAATAAATACCAAGACAATTATTCAGGATGTCAAAGACTGACTGAAAACTTTTTATTAACCTCTTATGAGAAATATACATTTTATCAGCTGACACTGACATTGTTGTCAGATGTTGTTGTAATTTAACCAGGGGATTAGTTAAAGTAACATTTTTTTATTGTGAAATTCACATTGAAACATGTCGGACATTTTTTTTCAACTATAAAATTGCTGATTCAGTAATTTCGTTTTATCTGTGTAAGAGCATTTGACCAATATATACCGAGTATTTCATTAAAAGTTTTGGATTTTTAGTACGTATAACCATGAAAAGTATGCCGCACTATTAATCTATATTTTTAAATATTTTGAGAGTGTTTTTTCATATTTTTATCCTTATGTCATGCAAGATTTAAATAACATTATTTTTTAAGTATTGTTATTTGAATAAATACTGGTTTTACTGATATTCTTCAAATTTATACGCAATGCTGCAATAGGGAATGTTATACCTGATGATATTCATACAGCGCTCTCTTAAAAAATATTATGCCTGAAAAGATCAGGTATCACCCTTGAAATTAAGGTTATTAAACCTGAATTGGTTGAACTGATCTCAATCGGGGAGGAAAGAAGTTAAGTTTACTTAGAGAGAATATTATGCTTGTCCCGCATGCCTTTTTAGGTGACGAGGGCACATTGGAAAATCTACAAGTGGAAAATATGTTGGAGTATCCGCGAAAATTATCTTATCTTCAAATCTAGTAAGAAAGGTGGAGAAATGCGGATTTAAAATTCGATGTGTGATTTTTAAATGACTTTTTATTGAAACGTATCGGGATTAAAGCCGACAGTGGTATGCACTACGATGCGAAGTTACTGTTCTCCCTCAGAAGAGAAATGGCCTTCAAGCCTTCCGAATCACGCATCTGAAGGGAGGTAATAGCGATGGCGACCCTTTTGCGGAGAATCAATTTTTACATAATTCATCTGAATCGGCCAAAGAGAATCGATCCGATTCAAAGATCGGGTCCGAAAGAATGGATCTTTTGGAAGATCGGTCCAACGATACGATGTTTCCCGCCGATCTGAAATTTCAAAATCAGCCAATCGAATATACTCAAATTGTCATGTGACGATCTTGGATCGATTTTGTAAACAAACTAATGATGAATATTAATACTTCTTTCGATAACAGTTGATTACTGAATAGTCGCTAGTGCGTGGAGATTTTTGTTATGAAATCGGTAGTGTTTTTCTTCACGGAGCAACCAACGATTTCTAACTAATCGTAACTAGGTATTATTTTCCCCGATGGAATCGTCCCATAACGATCCGAACTTTCCGATCCGATCTTCGAAACGTCGGGAAAAGTTGAAGAGGATCGGATCTTTCATGAAACCTTTCATTAGTATTTCCATAAACATGACTGATGAGAATCAAACATGCCCTCCTGCACAGTTGCGAGGCCTTCGCCGATTGAAACCCAACAATTATGGAAATTTGATACAGATTCTTTCGATTCGATTCCAGGTAGGTAAAAAGAATCGATCCACGCGAAAGATCTGTAATGAAGAATCGATTCAATACTATCGTTTTTTTGGTTTTAGAGAATCAATCTTTTGAAACATAGATCCAATAATCGCCATCATTAGCGACATAATATACCTCGCGACGTATCCGAATTGTGAGGTTAAAGAATATCTTTCTCCTATTAACTTCGAAGCAGAAACCCCCAAAGAAACATTTTGGAAAAAAATCCAAAGAGAATAAGAAGAGGAAAATGAAATGAAAATATTGTAGGTAGACGTGTATGGCTAAAGCTCTTACCAATATCCGTGCTTTTTCTGCAGTTTTCCGGATTACTTCTGTAACTAGTTTTAGGAATATGTTAGTTCAGTTAGTTATACGTACAAACAGCTCAGCGAACGCAGATTATAGTATACAGTTCTGCTTGTAAATGAACTAATAATTTGCGGCAACGCGTGATAGGAGGTAACAAGCTAACTTAAATGCTTTTTACTTATTTTGTTAATTTTATCGGTCATACTTTATCAGACGTTTAACGTTAAATGTTCTTCGAAAACGTTTGAAAATTAAAAATTTCCTTCTGAGCTTCCTGGAAATATTGGAGGTCCATCATTAAGCATCACATTCATAATATCGGACTTGTACCCGATAGGTAGGGAGAAGTAACTAAATCGGAGATAAGAATAGAAGGACATGACGATTGGAGAGGTATGTCGGTAAAAATTCAAATACCCTAAAGTATGCTCTGCATATTTTCGGTCGAAAATCTTTTTAAGAAGAAATTCCTTGCTCTTCGCTAAAATTAATTTGACAGCAACAAATCAAGAAAAATGAATAAGAGCTGTCAGTAATGACATAATTATGCTAAAAATTTTCTATTAAAAGAAATTTAGTATTGGCTAAACATTTTTATTCTAGCAGTTAAAAGTGCGAACGAATCAATTCTTTTTAGATATTCTTTGATTACTTTTGAGTTCGGTCATGAATTTCGAAATACGGGTGTATTCTCTCAAAACGTTGACTTTTTCCAGGCCTGTTTCTCTTCCTGTGAATTTACGAATATACAAAAGAATATGTAATGCCAGAGGCTCACTCGATAGTTCAATCCTGCGTCTCGCTATATTTTCAGACATTAATTTTTGTAAAAAAATAAAATCTTCACGAGCATACTAAAGGCTCCATTAAAACCAATTTGTCTCGCATTGGACCTGCCATTCCTCTAACTACATTTACAGTCAGTGGTATGGTTGCCTGTATGGTCACATCGTAACTACAATAAGTAAAGTAAGTGGAACTTGACGTCCACTACAAGCAAGTGGGGATGACGAATTATTTCTTCGTGGGCCCTAAAAACCGCCTTCGTTTTGGCAAATATGCAACGGGCATTCATCGAGGTTAGAATGGTGGCATTAATCCCCACGGCTCACAGTGGATTGAGTTAATAGGAGAGTTCGGACAAAATTTGGAAACTTAAAAAGCTTACAACTCCGTTTACACGAAATTTTGAGGTTCCGAAAGTGGTTCCATTGGTTTCTTCGTGAAGTTCTCTTCTAGGAGCACCCCTTAAAATTGAAAATGTGACAAAATAGAGAATTAGCAAGTGTCTGAAATTTGCTCAATTACGTGTTTAAGTGGAGACTATCGAGTGAACTGAACACGAGGATACTCTTGGTTCATGAAATAAACAATTATTGGAGAAGATATGACAAAATGATCTAATCTGCTAAAACATATCGACGGTGAGACTACCAAACCACGTATCTCGTTTGCGGTGTTTAAAAATCTACGCTCACGTTTTATTTTTTTGAAGTAGACCAAATCAATATCATCCCTTGAAATTTTCACGGAATTTTCTCCGCACAAAGAGGAAAAATCACAGAAATTGTCAAGACTGGATGTTAAGTAGTTTCTCATTTAAAAAATAAAGTATGACAGGAAGTCTGCGACGTCGCAAACCGAGATACGTGGTTTGGTAGTTTCACCGACGATATGTGTTTAAATGGGAAATGCCGGAAGATAACGTCACTAGACGGTGCATTTTCTCACTTTGAAATCTATTTTTCTACTATTTCTCATATCAGAAAAAAATTATAAATAATACTCCGAAATCAGCTCTTTAAGCATTTCCAGATGAAGCAATAAAAAATGTGCATGCACATTCTCCATTAACATCAAGATTTGCAGTTTTAGTCAAAAATTGTATGTCCGACCTCTCTGATTGGCTCGATCCTCCGTGCGGCCCGCCGAAGCAAGACTCAAGGGGCGTTTAGAGTAGAGAGCATTGCACTATTTTGAAGTATATTTACAAAGCCCCCATTTGTAAGGACTCTGAGCGCTGGTAAATCCATCTTAAAATACCCAAAGCTGGTTCCGTTATCGAATTAGTATGGTCTGGTAGGGAGGGAACCCTGAATGGAAATGCGGAGGATCTGAATGAAACTGCGAGGAGTTGTGAAGAGGCGGGTGGGCGAGCTGGATTTTTATCTCTCTGAAAATAAACAGGGGTGATGGTCGCGCGATTGTTTGGCGCAAGCAAATTTGTCTAATTGATCTTCCAATCTCATTTACGAGTCCGCCGACGACGGTCGAATCCGATCTGACAATTCGACGCGGTTGAATAATTAATAGTTCGAGTTGCCGAGGTGAAATCAAATGCCTGCAAAAAAGGTTTCCGCGCTCCACAAAAGTTATGCAAATAAATTATCTGTTGATGTTTGATAATTTTCCACTTCGATATTCACACTTTCAGCCGCATTTATTCAGCCGAGCTTTCACCGGACAGATTCGCAATCGATTTGGGGAGGGGGGGGAGGCAGTTTTGATCGTAAATCAGTCAGGTTGGCTCGACGCCTCCGAATTAATTGTATTCTACTGTTTGGGGTTTATGGGTCAATTGTCAAAACAACCAGGTAAATCCAACACATGGTGTTTGAAAGGGCGCGCCTGAAGAATATAT